GCGGCCGCATCCTGCAGCTCAAGCTGCGCGAGCTGCAGCTCAAAAAACAGCATATGGAGGATTTGGTAACACTCCTACATACTTCATTCTCTTTCCCTCGTATCTCTACCTCTCTCCGCCTTGTAACTCAAACCCTCACTTCCATTCGCTCCCGCTCCACCTTTCTCACTCACCCCATTCTGTCTCTCCACACTACCCTCCCTTCCCTCTTTACCTCTATCCCACTTTCTCTCTCTCCATCTCCATCTCTTTGTAGTGCAGTCTACATATGTTAAATTTTGCATAAGGGCTTTATTGTTAAAATATTTTTATAGTCTACTATGAATTGATGTTATGGAATAGAGTTTGTACGTTGTCTGTTTTAATAGATACGTCATTTACAGGTTTCTGAATTCCAAAAACTTCAGATGGCTACAGGTCTTGTCGGCTCCCACAATACATACTCCAGCTCGGGAGAGGACAGCGCGGAAGATGAACCATCTGGAAAGTGTATGTTGTCAACAAATTTTAATTGTTAATATACTTTACAATAGAATATTTTACTGTTGTTATTATACCTTATTTACATACATTTTTATTTTACTGTCTTCATTTTTTGGTGTAAAATATTGAATATTGTGTATTGAAGTACATCATTTATGATTTTAGGTAATAATGCAGCTGGAAATTTGAAAAACGAAAATAAAAGAATCGGTGGGAAACTTACTTCATCTTTGCATAAAGCTAAAGGTAAATAAAAAAATATTTTTAAACATTTATTATAAACTTTATTATGTTTAAAAACCATATTAATGCCTACTATTTTTTTCAGATTTGATGAGGTCATTAGAGGCTTTCGAAACCGACCACTTATCAAATTTACACGAGGAATCCTTCCCAATGTCTAACAATACAAATATACATGACAAGTAAGTTTTCGTTAACCTTCATCTGTAATTTTTTATTTTAATTTTGGTTTGTATTAATGTTTAATGTAGAAGTTTTTATTCTTCTATGTAATAATTTTATTTCGGTTTCGTAGCAAGTCTGATGGTGGTGGTAGTATGGGGGATTGGTCTATCGAGGGCAGCATGTGTCGTGTTCGTAACACGCTGCCGCAACGACACAAGTTCACCAACGAGCAACATCATCAGCAGCAACAACATCAACAACAACAGCAACAATATCATCAACAAATTAAACAGCATCAACAGCAGCTTGAGCAACAATATCAACAACGTCAACACCACAGACAACAAACACATCAACCACATTTCAACCAGCAACCACATATCAACCAACAACCACATCTCAATCAAGAACCACATCTCAACCAACAACAACATCTGAACCAACAACCTAATCTCAACCAACAACCACATCTCAACCAACAACCACATCTGAACCAACAAACACAACTCAACCAACAACATCTTAACCAACAACAACAGC